CTCCACTCCGGATCAACTGTTCCGTAGCTAATCTTGTCTTAACTTTCCCTCTCCCCACTTGGCGGCTACACACACACACACACACACACACACACACAGAGGCAGTAACAAGAGCGACATTTGAGTCGAAGAGCCCAAAGCACTAATCTCTGTTGGACAGAAGACTGGTTTATTTATTTGTGTAATCCCGTGCACCGTCCTTAACATCTGTTTATATGAAATCCTTTTTCATTTCCAGCCACGCGTTTTACCTTTATCCATAAATCTGTTGAGAGCGAGGAAACTTGATGTGGGGCAAAGATGAAAAGGAAATGGAAAGATGACAAAAGGTAAAAAAAAAAACCGCAAAAAAGAAGAGAAGATTTGAAGAGGAAAAAAAAAAAATAAAAGAGAGAAAAAATTATAAATTCATGACGAGAATGGGAATGAATTGAAATAAAATAGAAAGAAAGAATGAAAATAAAAATGAAAGGGAGGGGGAAGAAGTAATGTAAGAAACCAAAAATGAGAAAGGAGTTAAGTGAAGAAGAAAAATTAAAGAAAGTTTGAAGAAGTAAAGGTAGAAAAAGGAAGGGAAGTAATTAAGCAAAGGACAAAAAGAGTGTTGAAAGATAAGAATATTTGACTCGTACGCAAATAAAAAAGAAAGCAAAAGAAAACAATGCACAAGCATAAGGAATAGTAAAGAATGTAAGTAAAATTGAGAAAAAGAAAGAATGCCTATTAAGTGTGAATGAAGTAAAAAAGAAAGACTATAAAATATAAAAGAGAAAGAAAGACAACGAAAGATAGAAAATGAAAAAAGAAAGAAAAGATTACAAAAAAATTGAAATAATAAAAAAGACCGCAAAAATAAAAAAGGAAATCAAAAAAGATAAGAAAAGTGAAAAAAAATATAAAATATAAAAGAGAAGAAAGAACAAAAAAGATAAAGGAGGAAAAGGACGAAATGGAAAGAAAAATCAAATAAATAAGAATAAAACTACAAAATATAATGAAGAAAATAAAGAAGAAGAAAGAAAAAGAAACATTACAAAACAAAGAAAGAAAGAAGGAAAGAATAAAGGAAAACGCTGCAAAAAGAAAAAAAAGAAAAACATTAAAATATAAAATAATAGAAGAAAGCAAGATATAAAGATAGAAGAAAAATGGAAAACAAAGACGAAAAAGAAATCCTGCATAAGAGTAAGATTGGGAAAACAAAGAAAGAAGAATAATAACAGAGAGAGGAGAAGAAAAAAGAAAGAAAACAAATGCTAAAAACGGAAAATAAACCAAAATAGAGACTAAGAATTAAAATAAAGAAAGGAAACAAACAAGTAAGAAAGAAATGATGGATGCACATTTGCATTCTGTGTTTGTCGGTGTCATGTTCAACCAACTTTACGTCTCGTTTTGAGTCTTCGCACCGACGGAAGTTATGCCAGATACTTCCGGCTCGACAGGCCACCCAAGACACTTTTATTAAGCCTGCCAAGAAAACGTGGTTTGGGGTTTTCCTCCGAATAACAAGATTAATTTCTGTTAGCTTTGCAAACACCAATTAAGGACGAAATTCAAATGAGGCAACACGCTTCCTTTCCTTGTCTCACACATGAATTTTTATCTTTATTTTTTCGATTGTATCTGTTTGTCTTGGATTATTTTATTTATTTGCTTATTTTCCTTCGAGAGACTGCCAAAGAAAGACATGCCTCTGTTTTGTTCTCAGCTACATTAGAAACGACAAAAGAGACGTTTTGTTTGCTATGGAATCATTGTTTGTTGCTTCTAAAATAAGGCTCATTATTTTGAATTCATTTACTTTAAAGTTTATTGCTTCGCCATGACTTTCAAAAGAATTTATTTCAGAAAGTAAGTATGATACTTAGGTTTAGTAAGGTTGAAGGCTATGAGAATTAAACAAATAAAGATTTTGACTTTGAAAATTAGCACTCAAAGTAATAAATAAACCTTTTACAGTGTAACCCGGATATAAGAGACCCGGATATAAGAGGAACCCGGATATAAGAGAGATTTTCTCTGGTCCCAAATTAGAGTCTGTGTTACCTAAACAAAATAGACCAAACCCAGATATAAGAGAAACCCGGATATAAGAGACTTATTCTCCGGTCCCGATAACTCTCTTATATCCGGGTTACACTGTATATATTTTGTAGGAAGTGACAAATATATAGTTCGTTATAAAATCAATATTTATAATTTTTATTTAAGATTCTGAAACAAATATTGTTATTTGACGATTTCTTTTTACTAATATCCTCATCATAGTTTTATCCAACAGTTTTGGCTTTTATACTCTAGATCTTTCTTCATTGTTTGTTATCTTTACGTTGGCTAATCTTTGATTATTGCTAGATTTCAAATTGTATAGATGATACATAGTAACAAGTTGAAGATTGGCGCTATTCAATTTTACTCAAACCTATTACTATGTGCAACTGGGCCAAATACATTTGTACGTGTTCTCAATAAAGCTTAATTTCCTTTTATTTTTATCGTCTCTATTGATGTGATTAATTACTTTTAATTCACATAATTAATTCAAATTTTGTATCTTTATTGAATTTTATTTATTAATTGTACTTCTTAGGTGGAATTTGTTTTTGATTATTTTGATCGCATTTAATTTTTGAAAAATAGTCTTGATGAAGTTGATGTCATTTCTATTCATAAGTAGTTTTAAAAGAGAAGATGTACCATTGTTCCATTTCGAAATTGATAAAGAAAGAATTTCCTTGCACTCGATTCATCAGAATACGATTTTTTAAAAAGAAAAATGTTACAAATGAAAATACACTAAGACCGGGACAAAAAATAAGCAGAATTCTATTGGTATATTCTTGTAAGTGTTGTCTCTTCAGTCTTATCATGAAATCAGGATAAGTGTTAAAATCGCAGAACGTTTAGAAAATTTCGAAAAGATCGTTCACTGACAATTAAATTGAAAAGTCAAAGTTACGCCACCTGCAATTCATTTCCTGCATCTCATTAAGACAAGAAATGAATTCATTTTTTTTTTTTCTATTTTTAGTTTGGTTGATTTAACGACTTTGAATTCATTTATAATTCTGAAAACAACGTATTTTAAATTTATAAAATCTTTAAAAACTATTAGATTCACGTAAGAGTTTCCAAAATATTTTATTCATATAAAAATTTGTAACGTCTTTAGTAAGTCAAGAAAGTTTATTTTTCGCGCTTTTCTACAATCAGTGCTCTAACTTCCAGCTAAATTGTGTATGTCATCGTAAAAGAACGATTCTGGATTTGATTCGGATAAACTTTGAAACTGTTCACCAACCAATAAAGCAAAACGTGATGAATTAAATTTGATAGTCATCGGGAATAAACTGCAGAAGAACCTCCCATGCTATCTCCATAATCGTTTGCTGTGTCACATTTGCAATATGAAGACAAACGTTGTCATTCAATAACATTTTTGATCGATATTCTTGCCCAGAAAACGGTACTTTCTTTATTCCAATGCGTCATTCAAATGTATTGATTGATTCAATAAGAGAAAACAAACGCTGATTGGTTGTCGACGAAACCACTTGGCGCAATTAAATATTTTAATGAATTATATCAACATAAATGATCGTATTCTATAATTTAAAAAATCAAAACCAAAAGCCTTTTAATAAGAATAGAAGAATAAAAGGAATAGAGAAACTACAATATGTAATAATACTTTCTTTGATTTCTACGTCATGTCTTGGTATACAGAAACTCTAAAAAGTCACTAGAGGTGAACCAACAACTTCTTTAACTTTATATATAAAAATGTGAACAAATTATTAAAGTTTAAAATTTTAATCAGTTGAATTTTCTCTCATTTCTCGATATATTTTTAATTAAAAATAAGAGTTTTAATTTTATTCAAGTAAAGCGAAACTTTTTAAAGTAAATTACTGTTTTCTTTTTCTTTTTCTTTTTACTTCTTGCCTGTTAGTAAGAATAGATGTCATAAAGTTCTTCCGATTATTTGGATAAAACATTCTCAGTTTTATTAATTTTTGAATAGTGTTTTTCCATTTTATTTTTATTTCTTGTTTACATTTAATATATTCAAATTTGATAGACACGTTATTTGAATTCCTTAGATGTTATATCATTATTTATTTTTACAAGTTTTTCTTGATACCAAGATAGTAAAAGATAACAAAATTATTATTTTTGCCGAAACGCCGAGGTCGTTTTTATATTCTACTATTTTATTACTTTATTAAGTAAACGGCATGGAACAGAAGTAAAGAATTAGCCTACAATGAGATTTGAACTCGTATCTCGTAACATTTGGAGCCTGTCTGATATTAAAGACGCTCTACTGATGAACAAGATGAAGGAAAAAGGCTAGAAAAAATTAGTGACAATGTTTCATCTGAGAAATTCGGACAACTAAAGATTAATTCCTTGTCTTTTTTTTTTTTTTTTTTTACAGCAACAACAAAAATAATCATTCCGTGAAATTTAATTTGAAAAGATTCGATAATTTTTCGTAATTCTGAGAATATATGTTAATTAAATTAATTAGATTAAGGCGACAAATTAAATTAAAAGTAAAAAGAAAAAAAAATGTGTCGGGGAAAATCTTCCAAGAGACTATATTATAGATTCCCTGAGGCGTTGAGCAATGATTGCCACGATCACTCATCAAACGAATGCAAAAGAAAAGAAATTTTAAAAGATAAATTAAAAAGAACAAAAAAACCTTCTTTCACTTTTACGTGCAGAATGACAGACAGATACACGCACAGGCATGTACAAGTTGAGACTGTTAAGCTAGCGATACAATTTTAACATAACTTCAATGAACTCTCTCTCTCTCTCTCTCTCTCTCTCTCTATATATATATATATATATATATATATATATATATATATATCGTGGATCATAGAATGATAGAATAAATTAAAAAAAAAAACCTATTTTATCGATGAATATATATACATGGAGTGAGGAAGAAATACAAGAAATACCGTTTACAATTTTACAGCTTACGGCCACATCACGATGCAACACCAATTCCTGTACGACCGCTGAAGTTAAGAAACGTCGAGCCTGGTACCTAGATTAGTGACCGCTTGGGAATACCGGGTGCTGCAAGCATGACGGTGCGTTTGGTGTAAAGGTTAACAGCTCCGAATTGAAAATCAGAGAGCCGAGTTCCAGTTCTCGTTCGTTCCGTTATCTTCACTTTCGTGCAAATACCATTGGGAAAGGTACGAATCCACCTCTTCCCCACTTCTCGTTATTGCTTAATTAGTAAGACTTGTATCACTAAATAATTATTACCTTCTCCAAGTTTTTACAATATAAAAATATTTCCTGGCTTTAAATAACCTACAATGGGTTGATAAGACGTAGAAAACAATTTACGGTGAATCAGCAATTTTACATAAAAAAATACTAAAAATACAAGGACGCTTAGCTTTAAATCTAAATCTTAACAATTTGGGCTTTCGGTTTTTTATTCAGATGCATAATTTAGCCGACCTCATTCAGCTTTCTATCACTTGTCTTTATGTGTTGTGTCCCTTCATGACGTTGGCGATTATAGCTCTGTACAATTTCCTGACCTTTGTAGCTGTTAATAAAGTTTGTCTTTTTGTTATCTCTCCTAAATCTTGTTCTGCCATCCATTTATTCAAGTTTTCTAGCTAGGTTATGCGTTGTTTTTACCTGTCCCAATTTCTTTAAATCTGTCCTGTGAGCATCAGATTTTCCAAGCCCTCTTTGCTCATTATGTACCCTCGAAATTTCAATTGTCTTTTTCTGGTGTTAAGTATAAATGTCCTTTTTGTTTCCATTTTCTCTAAAACTTTGTCGTTGTTCACATGTTCGTATTTATTTCTCTTTCAATTAGAACCGAATTTTTCAGACGAAATTATGTTGAGACTTATTACAATGGAAAATTAATTCACCGTCTGAATTGTTTTGTAAAAGATTTCCTTTGTGTTCATGTAATGTTTTGTCTAATTTCATAGATGTTTTACATGCGCATCTTTCAGGATATTTTTACATTCCGTTGTGTAAATTCTTTTAATGTTGCTATTATTTCATTTTTTGTTAATTAAATCACTTATTCTTTTTAAGTAGTTGTAACAATTTTTATATTAATTTTGGATAATTTCTTTTCAATTGTAGTCTTTATTGATAGGTAATATTATATACCTGGTTTTACTGAGATTATGTTATTTTCTTTTTTATTTCGGTAGATTTTATAAGCTTTCTTCTTTACGTTATGTATGAAATAATTCGGATATTGGCAGAGTTTAAAAGTATATTAGTGATTTTTTTTTCATCATGCAAATATAGTGGATTTTATTTTGTTATTGTAGTGTGAATCAGAGATCAGAGTGTTAATGGGATCACTTTTGTTTGTGGATTTTGGATAGACATTCAGGTTTAAATCATTTTCAGCCAGATTAAACATGATATCAAGGAAAGGATATTTAAAAACAATAAATATAATAATAAAACTGAGAACAAAAGCGATAGAAAGCTGAACAAGATCGGCTAGGTTATACATCTAGTTACACATGACGTCAAAAGTTAAAAATATATGAGCTAAGGACAAAACTTGCCCAGTCTCTGCGACCACTGTCACGTTGGCATCAATATTCGGTTCTGATTGAAAGAGAAATAAATGCGAACATGTGAACAGCGACGACGTAGAGAAAATTGAAATAAAAAGGGCATTTATACATAACGTCAGAAGGAGACAGTTGAAATTTCTAGGGCACATGGGAGTTTAGAAAAAATCAACCCAGATTTAAGCACTAGTATTAATGCAGCTTTCGCTTGCTATCCGCTAGCTGCTGTTACTAGGAAATTACACGTATACATAAAACTACGTAAATACCTGACACGCTCATTCTCATATTTAGACGCATTCTGTTCTATACTAACGCATTTGATTTAGTTGTATTGTAAAGAAGACAAACAAAAATATTTTTAGTATGAATTTGTTTCGCAAATAATCTTTGGAATTCTTTTTTTTGCAATTTGAAAGAAAACTAATACTCAATAATAAAAATTTATTTAAATTTGTAGAATCGTGTTGAAGATCGTTTATTTCTTCGGTTTATTTTTCCTCTATATATAATAGGTGAATTTTGTGAATAAAAACATTTTTATCGTAAAATCCTTAGTAATACATATATATATATATATATATATATATATATATATATATATATATGACCTCACCGATTTGTTAATATATACGAATATAGAAATTCAAATCTGGAGCCCACAAAAACACAGAAATGAGTAAGATTTTTTGTGTGAGCTGGTGTTAGTATAGAATTGCCTTTTTTTTTACTGATATCACTAAATCCATTGTATTTTTTTACAATTCTTTAACGGGGTTCCACACACACACACGCACACACACACACACAGACAGACACACACACACACACAAATTCGACTAAGTAGTTTTATGTCAGAATTAATTTGACTTTCTTTTTAATCCGACTACTTTTGATTGACACTGTAATCGTTAATGATAATTACACGTTTAGTTTGTTTATGACAAAATCTTTGGCCAATTCCCGCGTCTCCTAGTTTGCTGGAACCAATTTGAATTCACTCAAAGATGGCGTCATTTACAACAGTGAAACTAAATTTCTACATAAATCTCTTCTATATTTTATGCATTCTCTACACAATGCCCAGATTTCATCCATTCTTTCGCTTTTAATTGATAGATGTTTTAACTTGATAATTGTTCACAGACACATGGAAGAATTACTTTAAATAACAAACATCTTAATGTAACCGAAATGTGTTAATCCAACATCGAATTATATTCTTTACTGTTGCTATTTTCGTAACATTCGGCCATATTATTGAAGAAATCATTTTTGGGTTGTACCAATTTTGACCCTTTGCTATAAGATGAGGTGACTTGCAGTACCTAAATGCTATTGTCTTAATTGCCATACGATGTGGCATCCACCGAGCAGAAACCTTTGTCATGCCAAGTTCATTGTGCAGAATATTCTCAGCTTACTGAAAGCATTTGCTAATAGCATTGGTTATTAGATTTATAGTCAATCACCTGTCATCTATCACTGTTTGGTGAATATGATCAATGTTTTTCTTGGTGGTGGCAGATCATGGATCATCTTCAAGTCTCTTTCTCTCTTTCCCTCCTCAATTCACTTGCCCACTTTTGCACTGTTGATAAAACTGGAACGTCACCCCCTAATGTAGCAACCATGTCAGCATGTTGGGGGCTAAAATCTTTTTTCTTTAGGTACCTTGATAACACCATGATGCCAAATTTGATACATTTTCAAGAGAAGTCGCTACTAGTTACTTTTGAATTCTTTGGATAGTTTTCTTGAAAATAAACGATGCTGTTATTAATAAGCAGAGTTGAAATTAATACATGCAAGGTTTCACAGCTCTAGCATCATTTCTTCATAGTCAGCCAATTTCCACTTCTCTATCTTTATCAATTTCTTTAATGAAATGCTGGTGGAAATTTTTGCCGAAATCTCTTCTAATATACTTTTGACCTTCAGACATGAAGATATGAAATTTATATTTGTCACTCCATATTATTTGAAACTATTTCTCCAAACTCCAATCTTTATACTTTTAGCGAATTCAATGATCCATTGCCTATTCTTCAAGAAAATGCTCAGCTTTTAACATTTTACGCATCCTATGAACCCAAATTGCTTGAGAGGATTCTTTATTGTCGTCAAACCTATTTTCAAACCATATTTTTGACTCACATCATTTCTCATATACACAGCACTCATTTTCCTATTGATCATCGAATATCAGTGAGCAAACTTATGCGTGTTATTTTTTCTCGTGTTTTGATCTGAGCCTATTCAAATAATCACTAGTTGTAGATTCTTATGGTTTTGTAAGCAATAAATTTCAAACATCCAATTTCAGAATCTGTTACCCATAAGCACAATCTTCAAGTTACTTTCTAGTGAAAAACTGAGGTTTGTTTTATCGCAACTACCTCAATTCTAATATTATAAATAACTTATTATAATATTAATAATGAACCAAAAGTATTGCGCCTAATTCAAACATGTTAGAACGGAAGTACTATGCTAAAGATTTCATTGATTTATCCGATGATGATATCAAGTATTATAGGATATCATTAGTTTGCCACAATAATGAAAGAGGGAAAAGGTGTATAGGAATTTTGATGGCACCATAGGATCGTTCGACGGAACGTAAGTTAGCGAACTGATCGGACTTTATATTTTGCAAAATATTGGCAAAATTATTGATCAAAATAATAACGGGCTGTTTGGAGACACGATGGGCCGTTATTATTTTTATCATTAATTTTGCAGAAAACTGTACAGGTAGAAAAAAGGAAGTTTTGGAAAAAAAGGTTATTTATATTTTTAAGGGACTTAAGGCAGAGATGAATCTTAAGTTGGTGGAGTATCTAGACGCGAAGTGAGATTTATATCAAAATGTAGTCAGAACATGTAAAGAACCAAATACATAAATATATTATGTAAAACCCGAAAAATGTAATGAAGCAAATACGGAAAGGTATTGAACATAGACTGTCTGATAATTCTTCCAACGAGTAAATGTTCAATAAAAATAAAAGATGATTACGAAATAGCGTTGGCATTGGTGTGGCATAAGTGTGAGTTTAATTATAAGGGAAGAGAACAACAGGAAATTTTTTAAAAAAATAATGGAAAAAGAAATTTGGTTAAAATCACCATTTCATTTGGCAGTAAAAACAAGAATAAGCGAGAAGTTTTTCAAGCTTTTCGATAAACATTTCCCGAAGGAATCTACTCTGCACAGAATTTTCAATAGAAATTATATTAAGTTCAACTACAGCAGCATGTCTAATTTCTGCAGTCTGTTAAAAAATAACAAGAAGATTCTATATGGAGAATCAAAACAGAAAGAAACAATTGTAGGAGGCTCGATTTATACCCTCCTTATTTGACTGACAATCTGATGTATAAAGAAACTTTGAGATTTGAAGGGTTCTGGGACCAATATTATATTGGCTCAGTCGAGCAAAGATATTATAATCACAAGATGTTAATAGAAACGTATGAATATAAAAACAATATCACTCTGTCGAAG